AACTAGAGTTTATTATACAAAACCCTGTTCAAGAATCTGTCGCGTTACAGGTGTGTATAAACCAGAAATTTTCTGTATGATATTGAAGCTGGAGCTGTCTATATCCGTGCTTTTTCTTGTCCAATGGTAGCAGAGTAAATTTAAAATCTTGCTGAAAGATGCCATTGTAGATTCTACAGAGTGACCAAACTAAGTTCGAAATATTGAATCAAGATGGCTTCGGATTTTCACTCTTGCTTCACATGCTGAAAGATATAACAAAACAATTCTTTTAATCAGAGCAAAGTGATACATACAGTTGTCTTGTGCATTTTGAAACTCTTTTTTGAAGAAAAAAAAAAGTGAGTCATGAAAAATCATAATAATACATACACTAGGTCAAAATATAGAATTGAGGGGCTGGGCAAAATAACCAAGAACTGACAGTTGGAATATGATTAATGCTCTAATTGTTTTAAAATTTTAAATCATAATAATTAAACAGATTTTGCCGTTTGTGTCTTTAAGGCAAGTAATTACTTAGTATTGAAAATGTATCTTAAAATTTTCTACCCACATTTTAAATTTTGTATTTTCCTTCAACATGAATGTATTAAAATAAGAGTATGATATGCGGTAGCTGAAATACGAGACTAACACACTTCTTAATCATAAGTCGGTTAATTAGTTGTTCCATCCTTTTTTTCTTAGTTTTAAAAGCATTAAAATACTGTGCAATATACTTACAATGTTAATATCCTTTTTGCAGTAGGCCTTACACACACATTATTGATTAATTGATAACCTCCACCATTAGTACTAGTGAGGTCCTATATTTAAAGTGTTAAAAACTTGAAACTTATTCACCTTTGAAAGTCAGGTAATTTCCTGTTTCTCCGACTGCCGCATTAAGGCTTTAAACAAACATCAACTTTCTTACTTCATGAGTTTTCACTGAGAAAAATTCCTTTACCAACAAATTCTGAAAGAAAGTCAACATATAATGATTTTTTGATATTTTGTTTTGCAAACCCACTGTTGACGAAAATAAGGATTTAAAATAAAAATAAAATTTATTTTTGAT